TCAAGGGCAGGGTCTGTATGTGAGGGTTAGCCCTGGGGAAATGGAGAAAAGTCAGTGCATGCAAAGAACCGTGGGAAACCTGGGAGCCATGTGGACCATGGGAAATCCGGAATCACAGATATCAGAGTGTGCCAAGGTCTTGCAGATTGTCTGCAATGTTGGATTTAGGTGAAAGGAACAGAGAAGGGGGTAGAGGAGAGAACCAGTGGATGTTTTATACTTTATACATTCATTCAATAGAAACATGCCAAGCACATTCCATGTGCCTAGCACCTAAAAATTGTAATAACCTTATGAAGCAGGTATTGCTATTATTTTATAGATAAGAAAATAAAAGCTCAGGGAAGTTAAGCTTCCTGCTGGGTCCACACAGCTAGTAAGTGGCAGGACTGGAATTCAATTCAAACTCAAAATTTTCTGACTCCAATGCATAAACTTTCTTTCATTGTTCCATGGAGGGTCACAGAGGGTATATAGCAAGAGGAAATCAGAGCTTGTAATTTTTTTTTAAATCACAGGATTTTCAGATGTCTCCAGGGGTAAAGGATTTGTAGCATTTCTATTAATACACACCAGCTCCTGCATTTCCCCAAACACATAATTACATATAAAAATGATCAACCAACAACACGGGGCAGTGAGCCAATGAAAAGAGTGTAGATTTTGGAAACTTGGGGTTGGGCAGATGGAGATGGGTGACTTTGGATTAGCTGCTTTACCTCTCAGAGCCTTGGCTTCCTTATCTATAAATTGGGACTAATGACAGTTTCTTACAGGACTGTAAACACTCCCATATATATGAAGGGCCTCATTGCAACACTGGATCTTGAAGCTCCCACCAGGAAGTGACATACAGCACTTCCACTCACTTTTCATTGGCCAAGGCAAGTCACGTGGCCACACCTAACTCTAAGGGTGTAGCATATACCTGGAGTGAGGCCCAGAAATATTCTGTGAATGTCTTAATGGCCACCACATTCATTTAAAGTAAATGTATATTTATACTTTCGTCTAACATTTGAAAAGCGTTTTTGTGGAACAGCTTTAAAATTAATTATAATCATATATGTAATATTAGAGATGCTATTTATTGAGCAACAATGCTGTCTTCAGATGTGGCCTAGGAGAATACTGGGGAAAGAAATACCTCCCAGAATGGAGCCAAGGGCCACAACGAACACTCACCCCCTGGAGTAGTGACCCTCACAACATCTGCTCAAAGGGATTTCGGAATTGCTGTGGACCAGTGATGGCTGTATTTCTCTCATTCTTCCTGCTTCTTAGAGGAAGTGTTTGTGTGGTTATTCTTCCTGGTTCCACTGTTGTGTAGCGTGTGTGTGTGCATGTGTACTGAGGGGAATGGTGGTTGTGGTGGCAAGTAACTCTCCTATTAAGGTATCAGTCTCCAGATCAAGTGGAGCACATCTGGGCCTGATACAGAGCCTGAGCATCTCACCCTGCAGAAGAGATCACAGGTCATGGGGAATTACCCAGAGAGCTTGGACTTTGAGCTTAGAGCCAATATCAGATGGGACTTTTGAGTTGTCTGAATTCGGGAAGGGATGGGTGATGATCTGGTGGGCACACTGGTGTTCATCAGTGTTGTACATCAAGTATTTTTAGTTCTTCCAGATATCACTGTAGACTTCACTTTCGTGCCGTTTGAGTTAGGTGTGGCCATTTGAGTTGCTTTGGCTAATAAAATGTGAATAAAATGATCAGCATCAGTTCTAGGTAGAACTTGAAGAGCTCGTGCACAATTCTCCATGCTTTCTCTTTCCTCTTTCTCAGTACGCAGCAATGTGGCTGCTCTATCTGCTTGGATCCCAGACTGAGGACAAACCAGAGCAGAGCCCCCAGTGATTTGTTTTCAGTGACTAAGAATTGGAGCTTGCTTGTTACTGCAGCACACCTTAGCCTATTCTGACAGATTTGAAGAGATCATCTTAATTCTTTATAAAATCACTTTTTATTTTGGTGAGATGAATTCCCTGCCCAGTAGGCATGTAACTGGGCAAGCAGTGGTTGTAGCTGGCATTGTAGAGATGGGGGCAGGCTTTAGTTGTAGGCTGGGATAATAAGGATCCAGATGTGGTCTCTGAGGGCCTCTAGGGAACAATCGTGGTAATGTTCATGATGAGGACATGACTAGGGCCCTCTTATGGACATTGTTAGGTCCCTAGGTCGTGGAAATGGTTTGCACTCAACTGCTAACCTGCAGGTTGGCAGTTTGAACCCACCCAGCAGTACCAAAAGGCCTGGTGCTCTGCTTCCATTAAGATTATAGCTAAGCAAACCCTATGAAGCAATTCTACTTTGTAACGTATGGGGTTGCCATGAGTTGGAATTGACTCTAGGGCAACTTACAACAACATGGACATTGTTATGGATTGAATTTTGTCCCTCAAAAATATGTGTTGCAATCTTAACCCCTATCCCTGTATATGTAATCCCATTTGGAAATAGGGTTTTCTTTGCTATGTTAATAAGACCGTATCAATGTAGGATATATCTTAAACCTAATTATTTTTGAAATCCAAAAAGAGCAGATTCAGCCCAGAGACAAGTAAGCAGACACAGAGGGAAGACAGACAGAGGCAAATGAAGACATGTGAAGATGACAGAGGCAGATTAATCTACCAGCCCAGGAACACCAAGGACTACTGGCTACTAGAAGCTGAAATAGACAAAGAAGGACCTCCCCCTGGAGCCACTCCCTGAATTTGGACTTCTAGCCTCCTAAACTGTGAGAAAATAAATTTCTGTTCTTTAAAGCTACCCACTTGTGGTATTTCTGTTACAGCAGAACTAGGAGACGGAGACAGACATTATTCAGGCTATGCTCCATAACAGCCACAGGCTAGCTGTGGCGTCTGGCTGAGGCATCAAGCCACACCAGAGAGCCATCACTTTTAGCACAGCTGTGTTCAGTGGTTAATGATTCCTGTGCAACCTCTGAATCAGTGCATTGCTATGCTAATTAGTTTCATGGACTCTTGCCAGATGGCATGGTCCTGCTTTCCTGTTATCCCGGGGAAGCCCAAGATACTGATGGAGTGCTCATCAAGTTCTATGAAAATGTTTAATGAACTTTTTACTATCATGTGACACATGTCAGATGTCAAGTAGGAGACCTCAGCTAAAAAACACATTCTCTTCCCTGCCTTGTTCTTGCCTTATTTCCTCCCTGGGGTTTATCCCTAGCACTCCCAGGGCTGCACTCTATGCATGGCTTTCCATTTTCTTTTGCATGCAACCCACTATTTGTCCCAACTCAGAGTAGCTTTTGTCTGCCTTACTTCACTCTTGGGTCAGCTGGTCCTCTAAAGGCATATTCTTATACTATAGCCCACCTCCCCTTAAACTCCCTCCCCACGCTGAATGGTCAAAGTTGCAAGTTTTGGTAGCTTTCACAGAATCCTTGAAGGTGAGGTTGAGTAGTATCTCAAAGTATTAATCTGCTTCCTTTGGGAATATCTTCCTCCTACTCCATTGTTCGAAGTACCCCGGCCCTTAATGTAGCAGGAACACAGACTTGAATGAGAGACAGAAACGTTACATGCAAGCTTGGAGAGCCAGTTTTTCTGTGTCCAAAGAGGAGATTAGCCTGGTGTGATGGTTAAGACTGTATGTCTACTTGCCTGGGCCATGATTCTCAGTAGTTTGGTAGTCACAGGATGTTGTGACATGATGGGATCTGCTGTGAGGAGCCAATCAGTTGAAAGGGAGTTTCCTTGGGCGTGTGGCCTGCACTGAATGTAAGTGGACATTCTGGCAAGGCTTGTGGCTTTTACTCGCTCTGGATCCTGGAGATGGCTCCTGTTCATCTGACCTCGGGTTCTTGGGGCTTGAGCTAGCAGCTTACCTGCAGTCTTGCCTGCCAATCTTGGAATTCATTGATCTTCACAGCTTGTGAGCAACAGCCCTGCTCTATGACCTGCTGATCTTAGGTTTGCCAGCCCCTGCAGCTACATGAATCAGGAGAAGACTCCAGCCTGACCCACGGACTTGGGACGTTCCAGTCTCTACAACCGCGTGAGCCATTTCCTTGATATAAATCTCTCTGTATATATATTTTTACACTTTACTGGTTTTGCTTCTCTAGAGAACCCAGCCTAAGACACCTGGGTTTGAGGAATTGTAAGAAAGGCCATAGCGAAGGAAGTGAGGAGGGAACAGAGACCTTCAAGTGGGGATGCAACACAGGAGCTCAGTCCTTAGAGACCAGGGGAAGGGCAGAGCTGAGCTGACCTTGAGAGTGGCCTCCATGGACCCATGGCCTGTGCACAACCCGCCCCCCACAACCCTGGACATTTGTGAGTCTCCTGAACAGAGAGGTGGGCTGGGGACTTGGACGTGTGTGGGAAACATGGAGGGAAAAGCTTGGCTCCTGACCAAAGTGGAACTCAACAGAGCCAGCTGGGAATTTTGACATAAGAGTCTACATTCAGCTTTTTCTCTATATAGCTCCAGTTTGGAACACAGAATAAGGTTCCGGAACAGTAAAAGGCATTAGAACCTCAGAGGCAACCATGAAACTGCTCATGTTGATCTAAAATAAAAATCTGGTCTCAAGTCAAGTGCTTTATTATTACACAGGTTTAGTGTCTGGACTAATACATATTTTTTTTTATAAGTCCTACTTTATTAGTACCAGTTGCTGTTGAGTCAGCTCCAACTCATGGAGACTCCAGGTGTGTTACAGTAGAACTGTGCTCCATAAGGTTTTCAATGGCTAATTTTTCAGAAGTAGATTGCCAGGTCTTTCTTCCAAGGTGCCTCTGGGTGGATTAGAACCTACAACCTTTCAGTTAGTAGCCGAGCACATTAACCATTTGCGCCACCCAGATACTCCACTTTTTTAGTAAGGAATAGTAAATTATCCTGGCTAGTTGTCACACCACTTGCTTTTCCCTTTTCTCTCTAAGTATCTTTCGTGGAATGTATACAGACAGTTCGGGAAGGGCTTGAGTTAGGTCTCCAGTCCTTGACTGTCTTACCTTGCCAACAAGCGCCAACTGTGAGTTGCATGGCTATGTGAGACGGATGAATGGGCCAATCGTTGGTCACCAGATACGGTTCATATGTTGCTCCATCCGTGTATAAGGTAACCACTGGAAACTCCACATTGATGACATAGTAATGCCACTCCTTGTCACAAATCTAATGAAAAGAAAGAGAACAAACACTTAAAATTCAACGTGCAATTCAACATCAAACAGACTTTTATTCTAACTATAAAACGGAGAGAAGACATTTTGGGTCAACAATTTTCATTGCAAAGAACTCAATGAACATAATGGTTGATGTGAACTGAGGTTAGAGAAGTTTCATCACCAAACATGATGGGGTAAACCATGGGGAAGAGGAGCACCTGAGAATCCAGTCATGGGGCAAATATTTGATTCTGGCCAGGTTATCTTGGTCACATAATTACCAGCTTGACTTGGCTGACAAGTTCTTAGTGGGTAGGTAGGGTGTCAGCTTAAATTTGCTTTGTGTGAAACTTTGCTTAGTTCTTTGGTTGAGAAAAGCATTCAATTGAAAATATTTTTCTAAGTTTAGGGATAGATGGGGTTGTAAGAAGAACGGTGCTAGATTGAAAGTAGAAATGAAGATGAGATGGAGGAGAGGAGGAAAGGAAGGGGAAAGAAGGAAATGGAAGAGGAGAGGAGCAGGAGTTAGGAAGTGGTGAAAGAGAAGGCAATGAGCATGGGAACAAGAAGAAAGAGATGCAGAAGAATAGGGGCCCCCAGTTCTTTTGTGTCTATTTTAAGGTTTGTCAGAGAAGCTGGTGTAAACTCACATCCCCTTCAGCTCAAGCAAGGTGAATTCTGAGGAGGTAGCCTTCCCAGCAGGACTTAGCTCTGCACCCGCCCCCCCCCCGCCCCCAATATAACACACGTCCTCTCACAACCTTTTGCACCCAAGATGTCTTAGCGCTGGGAACCAAAGGCAAACCTTAATGGATTGGTAGAGACATTGGGGGGCTAGGGTAGAGTCATAATTCCTGACCTCAGGGACTGAACCCATACAGCATGATCCAAAATAGGAAGCAAGCCTGGCATGTAAGGGAGACTGGAAGTATGAAAGGTGGCAAGACTGGGGAACGGTGCCACCCTCCCTCCAATACCCCAAGCAAGTAGCTGGGTGTCACACTAGATTATTGCACCTTCACACTCCCTCTCCCTCAAATCCCCCCCCCATCCTGTGGCAGCCACCTCTAAAGTGTCTCTCATTTGCATCCTCTTGTCCCCATCATCCCTGCCATCTGTGGCAGGGGAGACAGATGAGTTCGCATGAAGGTGACCCCAAGGTAAGGGCATCAAAGCTCTCCCCCCTCCCACTGTGGATTAAATGTTCTGTTTCTCATGAATAGATAACACTAACAGGGATGCTAAATGATCTTTCTCCTTTCATTTTGGAATAATAATTTTTTCCTTAATGTTCTTTTTATTTTGTCTTGTCTGATGTCTCAGAAAATTGCTCCTTTTGAAACCCATTAGCCTGATAAAGGCTGATAAATATTTTAGGGGACCTTGGAAAGTAAGCAAGAGGGTTCCAGGCAGATCACTGCAAAGTCCTGCTACATTCAGTGAGCGGGCCTGACCAGTTCACACTCCCTTCCTACACCTGACTGGGTGTGGGGCTCTGGGGCTGGGCCTGTGACTGAGGTAGGGTGACCCAGGAGCATGGCACAAAGGAAGACCTGAAGACAGAGTCTAGGGAGATGGAAGACTAGGGAACTAAGCAGAGTATTTGAATGAAGTGCCCAATCAAAGGAGGCCCAGTGCTTGCTGGCCTTGGGGTTTGCAATTGAGGATAGCTAGGCAGCAGAGGCACCCTGGGATATAGTTCATGAGACAGACCCTGGCGGTGTTCATGGAGGGGAGGGGAGATGGTGGGTAGGCGGTCAGAGTCAGGATGATAGTGATGTGACCCTGACCACACCCCATGTCCTACAGAATGTAGGCAGAGTGCTGACAGCCGAGCCTGTAGCACTCAGGAGAGTCGTGGTCTCAGTCACCACCCTGAAAGCAGCCCTCCTTTCTGATGCGTCTGCCATGTTGCCTTGGCAGATGCTACCTTATAGCACTCCAAGTCTGCCCAAGCTGGATGGAGACTGCCCCTCTGGCTCCTTTCTTTCATAACATTTACTGCATTCTTGAGGTCCCTGAGTGGCGCAAATGGTTAAGTGCTTGACTACTAGCTGAAAGGTTGGTGGTTCAAACCCGCCCAGAGGTGCCTCAGAAGACAGGCCTGGTGATCGGCTTTCAAAAGATCACTGCCTTGAAAACCCTATGGAATAGAGTTCTACTCTGCACATGTGGGGTCACAATGAGAATCGACTCGACGGCAATTAGCAACAACAGCATTGCATTTTTGTAGGAAAAAAAAAATCCAAGAAGAAGTCAAATAATTCTATCATCCAACAGCAACAGTAACCTCTCTCAATATTTCAGTCTTTTCCTAGCCCCTCCCCTCAGTTTTTCTAAAGTGTGCTTGATGGAACAGCCATTCCTGTGATGCTCCACATTGAAACAGTGGCCCCATAAGCTGAGTCTCCTTCTTGGTGATTTCCTGTTCTCTTTAACACATCCAAGGCTCTGAGAAACCTTGAAGTGTGTGTGACGATTTTGCAACCTTGCTGGAAAATGGAACTTTCCTATTTATAGCATCTCTATGAACATCCTGTGAGACAACAGTTGGGAAAGGTCTATTTGGATCACACTGTATACACAATTTGAAAGTCTGCATGTTTCACTTACCATCAACATTAAAATGCTTCAAAACTTCATTTTAAATGGCTGCATAAAGTGGATGTACTATAATACACTTGATGATGAAGATAGCTGCAGTCAGGAAGACCCTGACTTGTGGTGACCTTATGTATAACAGAATGAAATATTGCCCAGTCCTGTGTCATCCTCACAATCGATGGCATGTTTGAGTCCATTGTTGTGACTATTGTGTCAATCCATCTCACCAAGGTTCTGCCTTGCCCTCGCTAGCCCTCTACTTCACCAAACATGATGTCTCCCTCCAGCAAATGATCCCTCCTGATGATGTGTCCAAAGCAAGTAAGTCGGACAATGTTCTGTTGTGATCCATAAGGTTTTCACTGGCTAATTTTCAGAAGTAGATCACCAGGCCTTTCTTCTTACTCTGCCTTAGTCTGGAAGCTCTGATGAAACCTGTTCACCATGGGTGACCCTGCTGGTATTTGAAATACCAGTAGCATAGCTTCCATCATCATAGCAACATGCAAGCCACCACAATATGACAAACTGACAGATGGTGGTTCCACTGCAATGAATTACTTCATATGGCCCTTCTAGCCATGGTCTTTGTGACTCACGCAGAGTGATTGGCTGGGACTGGGCAGATAAGGTAACTGTGGCCCACCAAGGGGATTGGTTAGTTTTGCCATCCTGCTAGGCTTAAAATGAGCCATCCCAGAAGTGGGAAGAGAATCTTCTTCCTGGTAGAAGAGCTAGGAGCAGAACATATCCTTTGGACCCAGGATCTCTGCACTGAGAAGCTCCTGAAACCAGGAGACAGAAAGAGAGCTGTAACACTGAAGAAGGTGAGAGGCAGTGGCAGAGAAATGTTGGCAAGAGAGACTGGCAAGAGATGACGTGGTGGGCTTCCCAGCCACAGAGCAAGAAAGCTGAGTGCCTTCAGGCAGGAGGCTTGCTGGAGGAGTAGGGTGCTTCTGGGCACTTGGTGGAACTAGGTTTGCTGACCCATGGGAGCTAGAGCTCAGTGCCTTTGAGCTGAAGCTTATTAGTGGAGTAGGGTGCTCCTGGGCACTTATTGGCAGAGCTGAAACATCTTTGTAACACTTGCCTGAGCAGGGCAGAGGCCGAGGGCCAGAGAGAGGTGTGCCTGTGGGCATGGCTGAGAAGAAGCTGTCCTGATGGAAAAACTGTATCCTGAGCATTCCTAAACCTGAATTGTAACCTGTTACTTCCCCAATAAACCCCATAAATGTGAGTATGGTCTGTGAGTTCTGTGTGGCCATTGCAGTGAATTCTCGAACCCAGCAGGGAAGTAGCGAGTGCTGTGGGAGGGACAGTTGTCAGAACTGGTAGAGATGGTGGAGAAGGGAGGCATGTCTGACCTCCGCCTCATAGGAATTAGCCTTGGCTGTTGATCTTGATTCTCCCTCCTCCTCGTGAAGTTAGAGGAGGTCAGACACCTCGCCCATGACATTTTTACAGTGGTGGATAATATACTTTACTATTCTCTTATTATCTGACATTAACTATGTACCAACTACTAGAAATGATGCTGTAATGAATATTTTTGTGCATAAATGTTTGTCTATTTCTGATTATATCCTTAGGAAAGATTCCTGAGAATGGAATTACTGGGTCAAAGAGTAAGGATATTTTTAAAGCTCTTGATACATACCATCAATTTTTTTTTTTTGGCAAGAAATTATGCCTGTTTATCCTCCTGCCAGCAGAGTGCGAGTGTGCTCCTGGATCATACCCTCACCTCAGCAAGTACTAACAATGCCAACTCCTGCTAATTTGAAAGGGGATACGTTTTTATCTCATTTTAGTATGGGTCACAAAGGATAGCAAGATTTAAACCCTTCAAGATAAATAGGAAGGACATTCTGGGAATGGGAAACAGCCTGAGCTAAGACTCAGAGGTGGGAATGATGGGGAATGTCCCTAGTTGTCTCCTCAATGGGCATCCAAACAGGCTTTCAGCTCATAGTCAGGTTTATGCCTGCAGACTTCTCACACCATATAATCTATGACTACAGCTAAAGGAAATGCCTAATTATGGTTTCATAGATGTGGATCTATGGTCATGAAGAGACCCACATTAACCCTCTGCTGGAGCTGCAGGGACAAACTGTAATTGAAAAATCATCAAACCAGGGGGCAGGAAAAATAAATACATCAATGTATAGTTCAACCAAGGAAGAAGGAAATTAGGCAAAGTGACCCTTCCTGGGGGGAGAAAAGAACTTTCATTCCGGAGCTGTTCATGAATCACGGTGAACCCACCGGCACCAAACATGTCTGACACCATCCCCTGAGAAGATGCCTGAGGCCTTAGCAAGACCAGAGACACTTAGCTCGCTGAAAACCTGAAGATGTGTTCTCCAGGTGGGTGACTGTGGCTGCCATTCAGCTGGTGAG